CCCGGCCCCAGCTAATTTTTGTATTTTTTGTAGAGAGGGGGTCTTGCTCTTCCTCAGGCTGGTCTTGAACTCCTGGCCTCAAGCAGTCCTCCCACCTCAGCCTCCCAGAGTGCTAGGATTATAGATGATGTGAGCCACCACTCCTGGCTGCATTATCTATTTAGTGTACAGTTAGCTTCATTTGTTTTTGTTTTAGAGTTTGCTTTTCTTTCTGGGTTAAGTTTTTGAATATGTAAGTCATTACATGTACAAAAGTACATGAACTTACCCAAGGAAACGTTTCTGCTTATCCTAGCCCTTCCATCATGTAAGTGACTATTTCATTAATTTTTGATTTATTCTTGCTGTGTTTCTTTTGCAAAAATAAGCAAATTCATGTGCGTATTCTCCTTTTTACTTCTGGGTTCAAGTAATCCTCTCGTCTCAACTTCCTGAGTAGCTGGGACTACAGGCATGCTACCACCGTGCCTGGCTAGTTTTTAAAATTTTTTATAGAGACAGGATCTCATTATGTCGCCCAGCCTGATCTTGAACTCCTGGCCTCAAGTGATCCTCCTGCCTCAGCCTCCCAAAGTGCTGGGATTTCAGGTGTGAGCCGCAGCACCTGGCTCACCTTCTTTCTTACATAACGGGTAGTATACTATTTATACTCTTCTGTACTTTGCTTTTTTACTTAGTATATCCTGGAAATCATTCCATAGCAGTTCTTGGAGCTCATCCTCATTCTTTTTCACATGTATATAATACTCCATTGTATCATGTACCTGGTATATGCAAATAGTTGCATTTAGGTTGCTTTCATCATTGTGCTATTGCAAATAGTGTCAAGTTGAATAACGCGTGTTATTTCTTATTTGTGGGTAAACAGCTAGAAGTAAGATTGTTGGATCAAAAGGAAATTATTTTTTAATTCTATCTCCCCCCCCTTTTTTTAATACAAAGGGTAATATACAGACTGTTCTACATCTTGCTTTTTTCAACTACTAGTGATCGTGGAGATTTTTCTATATCAGTAGAGAGCCTCTTCCTCTTTTCAACAGCTGCAGAGCGTTTTTAAAAATAGCTGTGGAACAGTCCATTGTATGACTGTACCATTTACTAATCAGCCCCTATTGATAGACATGTAGATTGTTTCCAATCCTTTGTTATTATAAACTGCTACAATTAATGCACCTGTGCAGGAGTATCATTTCATGAAAATGTCTATTATGCCTTTTTCCTTTTTGTGCTAGATTTTACTAGGTCTTTATATCTGCATTTGATCTCATGTCACAATAGGGCCACAAAAGATTGTAATTGTCCAAACTTTTAATTGGATCCAGAGGAATCTGACTGGAACGATAGGAGAAATTTTTTTTTTTAAAGCAAACTTTTCACTGAAGTGTAACACACAAGAAAGTGCCCAGGCCGGGCGCGGTGGCTCACGCCTGTAATCCTAGCACTCTGGGAGGCCGAGGTGGGAGGATTGTTTGAGCTCAGGAGTTCGAGACCAGCCTGAGCAAGAGCGAGACCCCGTCTCTACTATAAATAGAAAGAAATTAGCCAAACAACTAAAAATATATAGAAAAAATTAGCCGGGCACAGTTGCGTGTGCCTGAAGTCTCAGCTACTCTGGAGGCTGAGGCAGGAGGATGGCTTGAGCCCAGGAGTTTGAGGTTGCTGTGAGCTTTGATGACGCAATAGCACTCTAGCCCGGGCAACAGAGTGAGACTCTATAAAAAAAAAAAAAAAAAAAGTGCACAAACAGTAACTGTATGCTTGACGAATTTTCACAAAGTCCACGTGTCTGTGTAACCAGCATCCCAGGCCGGTCTCGTGCCCCAGTCACCCTCTCGAGGGCGATACTATGCTGACTTCTAACACCAGAGATTAGTTTTGCCTGTTTTAAAACTTCGGGGAAATCCCTGCCCACTTTTCACATGTTGCGCTGCCTCAGCGCTTGGTCGGGGGCCACCTTGTGTTCTGATTCTACGTGGGTCCGCCACAGTCACCGTTTTCCAAAGCGGTTGCTCATCGGCCTCCTGGGCCGTGACTCCCGACGATTCCTCAAGGTCCGCGTCAGCCTCCCGGGGGCGCCCGCGTGTGCGGCGCACTGTGCTCCGCCTGCCTCGGGCCGGCCCGGGCCTCCCCTGGACCCGGCCCACGGGGCGCCTCCACTCGGCGTGAGGCGGCCTGCGTCCCCGCTCCGCAACCCAGCTCCAGGCCCCTTCAGACCGGCCCCCTGCGGGTCAGCAGCCTGCGCAGCGCGCCGTCCGCTGCTCTGGCCACAGCGGCGTGAAGCGTGAGGCTCAGCGCGACGCTGTCCCTCTGCCCCGAGGCTGCCTTGCGGGCTCCTCTTCAGGCCTCGTGTCTGCACTTAGCGCTTACTTTTAACTGCCCCGGTTCTCCAGTCAGGTAGTCACTTCGTACAGACAGCGTGTGTTCCCACGGCTGCGCTTGCCTTGGGGCGATTCACTGCGGAGGTTATGGGCTTCTCGCGGGGAGGGCAGGGCACGTCGGTCTCGCTCGCGCTCTGTCCCAGCGCCCGCACATGATAAGTCCTGGTAAGCGAGCGAACGACTGAGGCCAAAAGGCAGGAGGGAGGGGGCTCAGCCTGTGTTCACAGTCAAGGAATAGAATTTCCTCTTGTCCCTCGGGCTTTCCCTGCATGAGGTCCCCTCCCAGGTTCCGTTCCTACCCTTGAATGGGGTTTTCTGAGGATGCACTTTGTGCGTTGGGGCAAAGGGCGAGAGTGGTGAGAAGGATGTAGCTGGTGGAAGGGTGCCTCTGGGAGGTGGGGAGCTGCCTCCACTGGGGGCGTCGCACCGTGGGAACGTGGGTCCTGGCCCAGGGAGCTTACAGCCCAGCAGGGCAGAGAGAGGGACTGGGTTGGGCGGGGCCCCCGTCCTCATCCTTCTCTGGCTTTTCTTTCCTCCCCAGATCAGGACAAAGAGGCGTGGGCAGGCCGCTGGACCAGCTGGTGCCACCATGGCAGGTAAGGGGAAGGGCGGGCCATGTGGGCAGGGCACGAAAGTGAGCATAGGGTGTACCTCCCCTAGTCTTCGGAAGGCAGCTTCTTTCTGACCCATTGTCCCAAGGTTTCCCCCTCCTCAGGCCTGTCTGTCTGAGAACCCCAACAGGACCCTGTCTAGCCCTGTCAGATCTCCAACCCTGGGGACCAAAGATTGAGCATCTTGATGTCCTCATCTTACCATCCGACTGATTGGCAGCATGGGTGTCTCTGCCCCTTCCCCTCTGTCACCATTGTTTCCTAATACGCTGAAACCTTTTCTGTCCAGTTTCTAAAGCTCAGACATACAGAATGCCACAGCTGGACTTTAGGGACCATCCAGCCCAGCCCCCACCCCACTGGATAAACTGAGGTCTGGAGAGGGGCAATGACTTGCCCAAGAGCATGAGTGTGGGCGTGGAGGCCGGAACCCATGTCTCTGGACTCTCACCCATCCACTTCCTCTGCTGAGGAGGGTGCCTCACTCTGAGGGACAGTATTTATTGCTCGTTACTCTTCTGAGTGACATTGTTTCAGGGGCTTTGGTTACTTGGGGATTGTCATGGCAGACCCGGGGAAGTAGGGATGGCTGGTGGGGATAGCAAAGTGGCCAGTGGCCACAGGGGCCGAGGAGGCAGTCCAGGCAGAGTAAGGATGGGCGTATTGGATCGGCGGGGGCGGGGACGTTTGAGGTGATGCCATGTGATGTGCCTCACCCACAGAGAAAGTGAACAACTTCCCACCACTGCCCAAATTCATCCCGCTGAAGCCATGTTTCTACCAAGACTTTGAGGCAGACATCCCTCCCCAGCATCTCACCATGACCAAGCGCCTCTACTACCTCTGGATGTGTGAGTACTGTGGGGATGGGGGTGGCCAGGGCAGGTGGAGCAGGGAGGTAAGACTGGTGGGTGCCACAGGCCGAGCTGTCCTTCCGCCCCACTCTAACGTCTGCATGGACCAGTAAGCCTTTCCCCGCTAGGCTCCCAGCAGGCTCTTCCCATGGGCCAACTCCCCAGCTGGGCCTCAGTTTCCCTTGGCCCCACGACCTAGGCCTCTCCTTTCTTCCCTTCCCCTCCATCTCCCATTCACAGAGCACCTGGATGGGGCCCGCTTTGCAGTGTGATTCCTGTTTTCTCACTTCCCCTTCCCCTTCCCACTGGGGCAGTTCTCCAGGGAACCTCTGGTAACTGTCAGGACCTCAGGATTCTTGACTTGGAGAGGAGTCCTTCCCTGAAAACCTCATTTTTATTGCTTTCTCTGAAAGACTGCTCAAAGAGAAGAGCATTCATCTGGGAGTAGGGTGATATGAGATCGAGTTTGTCTGGTCACTACTTCTGGAGCAGCAGGTTCCTGATCTGCAGGAAGGTAGTATTGAGCGATTGCTGTGGTTCCGTGCAGCTCTGCGTTACGTGGCCTGTACTTCTAAGAGTCTAGTATTCTAGACTTCTAATGTTCTAAAGTTTTGATGTTGAGAGTTTAAAGGCCCTCTTTTTGGTAATCTGTGGCAGGTTGGTGGGAAAGGTGTCATCTTAGGGGGGATGGGACTTGGCTATGCTGAGGCCGGCCAGAAGGTATCTCTTAGGCATGTGAAAGCAGGGCAGGCTGGCTGTCCTGTGCTGGGTACAAGCCCCAGGCAATGTGACACTGGCAATGTGACCTCAGTCAGGGTCTGCCATGTGTGATGTTGCTTTGAGTCAGGCCTACACTTAGCTGCTCACCTGGGCAGGTGGTTGTGTGCACCAGGAAGGTGGTAAAGCAAGCTGTCTTTGCAGCGGGTGCTTGATGGCACGGTAAGAAGACGATGGGAGAAGACAGACTCAATTTCAAGTCCTGGCTTGGCCTTTGGGTTAGTGGATCTCTCACCGTATAACCTGAGAAAGGGGGGAATAGGGTAGTAGGTAGTAGGGGGATAGGGTGTAGGTAGGTCTGCAGATGTTGGGAAGAAAATGAGGAGGCTACTTTTGATGGTTTCCACATTTATTTATTTATTTAGTTAGTTAGTTATTGAGACGGAGTCTCACTCTGTTGCCCAGGCTAGAGTGTCATGGCGTCAGCCTAGCTCACAGCAACCTCAAACTCCTGGGCTCAAGCGATCCTCCTGCCTCAGCCTCCCAAGTAGCTGAGACTGCAGGCGTGTACCACCACACCCAGCTAATTTTTTCTATTTTTAGTTGCCTGGCTAATCTTTTTGCTATTTTTTAGTAGAGATGGGGTCTTGCTCTTGCTGGTCTCGAACAACTGACCTTAAGCGATCCACCCGCCTTGGCCTCCCAGAGTGCTAGGATTACAGGCGTGAGCCACTATGCCCAGCTTGGCTTCCATTTTTTTCCATCAAATATGTTGTAGGAGTGGGGGTGGGAGCTTTAGGGAGGGTGGGCTCAGAATGAGAACATGTTTGTGGATAGAGGGTGAGGACACTCTCCAAAGAGACCTGGCCCCTAAGATTTCTGGGCCACGCACAGGGCCCATTTGAGGTTGGTGGCCTTGAATTTATAGTCCTCCCAGGCTTTCTTGTGGTGTCCCTTTTTTCTTAGTGCCATTCAGCTCATGTACAGATGGAGTTATGTTCATACAGGGTGAGTATGACCCGAGGACAGCGTAGGGGAGGGAAGAAGAAAATGAGTGTAATTAGTTATGGGATCTAAGCTGGACGAAAACAGGAGTGAAGACACAGAGTGGCCGAGTCAGTGGGTGTCTGTTACAGAGAGGTAGCCAAATAATTTCAGCAAGGGCATGAGAGCAAGGGAGGTGGAGAGAGGTGGGACTGAGGAGAGAAGTGTTAGCCAGTATAACAATGGGCTAGTGCCTTTTCTATGTAAAGAGCAAGTAAAACCAGTAAGAACACCAAGGTTCCAAGAAATGTTGGGGCAGTGAACAGGAATGGAGGAAATATAGCTGAAACGCACAAGAAGAAACGCCCACCCTCACTACGAGGGGCCCTGAGATGGTGTACCTGCACAGGTGACAGGGTTGCCAGGCCAGGCCAGACTTGGGGAACACTCCCCCTGACCCTGGGCTCTGGGAGCTCCGCTCCTGGGAAGATCTCATCCAGAAGCTGGATTTAAGGTCTATAAATATCTCCCTAAGTCCTTACTAGGTGCCCACTGGGTGCTTTACTCCCAAGGAAATGTATATAATCCTTGAGATGCTTAGGGGCTCTGCTCAGAAGACGGGCCCACGGATGCTGGCTATTTGAGGCCAAGACTGAACCCTCCTTCCTCTGTTGATTCAGCGGTCTTTGTGGATTTAGCCTAGTGTTCAAGGAAGGGAGTGCCCTGATGTGAGAAGACCTGGGTGTGTGTGTTAGTGCCAGTACCAGTTCTCTTATCTGTAAAATGAGGAGTTTTTGACACCACCCTGCTGGCGGTGTCTCAGTGATGCTGTGATTTCTAGATGCAGCTAGATGATGGGACAGAAAAGGGGGAGCCTGGGTCCCATTCTAGGGAAGCTTCTAATGTTGTTGATGGGCTGGGACCTGTATTTGGGAAACCATGAGAGCAGCCCATGAGAGCAACCCTCTGTAGAAGGTCAGAGGGATGGGAAATGAAAGGTTGCAGTATCGGAGGAACGCTTCTTGGAGCAGATGACATGTTAGTTGTCTAAGAAATAGATTAAATAAAAATAGATCCCAGACACTGATGCCTGCCCCATTTAAGTGCAGGGCAGATGGTACAATGGCTTGAAGAGATGTTTCTTTTTTTTTTTAAAATAGAGACAGAGTCTCGTTATGTTGCCCAGGCTGGAGTGCAGTGGCTATACACAGGCATGATCATAGCGCACTATGCCTCAAACTCCTGGCCTCAAGCAATCCTCCTGCCTCAGCCTTCCAAAGCACTGGGATTACAGACATGAGCCACCATGCTCTGCCTTATAAGGAAAAGAGCATTTCTACCACCCTGAGGCTTTAATCCCTTAAAGGGGGCTTGCTGGGCAGAAGCTCTGCTCCCTGGAGACTCTTGGCTCTCTGGATTTCTCAGATCCTTAGGAGGGGGTATGGGGAGGGGGCTGGTCAGAGCTCCCAGCTTTCTTTCTTACAGCCTGTACTCCTTCTCCTTCTGTGTGTGTCTTGTGTGTCTCTGTGTATGCATTGATATGCACTGTGGGTCTTCTGTATGGGTGTGAATCTATAAATGTGGCTTGCGTTTGTATGTATATATCCATATTTGTTTGCATCTCTCTGTGCTTGTCTGATTATGGATCTGTGTTGACCATGTCTGGGTGCTCGTGTGTCTCTGTACGGGCCTGGGTGTCTGTCTCCGTGTGCATGTGTTCCTGGGCCTGCAGTGAACAGCGTCACGCTGGCCGTGAACCTGGTGGGCTGTCTCGCGTGGCTGATCGGAGGCGGGGGAGCCACCAACTTTGGCCTCGCCTTTCTCTGGCTCATCCTCTTCACACCCTGCTCCTACGTCTGCTGGTTTCGGCCCATTTACAAAGCCTTCAAGTAAGTGGTTGGTGCTGACCCTAGCTCCTAGCCCCGTCTCTGCCCATCTCCCCTGTCTCTTCTCTACTCCTTTCCCACTTTTTTTTTTTTTGCCATCCCCCAAACTCACTTTCCTTTGTTCACCTTTGGCTCAGACCACCAGGTGGGGCTTGGGCTTTCTGGGGGCTCCAGGCTGAGGTGAGAGGGTAGGAGTCAGAACCTTCCTCTTAGTTCCTTCCCTCCTCACGCTACCCTTGGGTAGGGGCAATACAGAGAACAGGCCTATTTTTCTCTTCTCCCATCACCATCCCCAGGAAACTGCATGTTGAATTTTGCCTATGGGGCCACCTGTCTTGGTGGAGCTGCCCATCCATGTACCAGTGGGGCTAGCTGATTTGGTGACAAGGAGACCATCTATCCATGTGCCAATGGAACCAGCCATCCATGTATCACTAACACTATTCATGTGCCAATGCAGTCATCTAACTCTGTGCCAAAGGGACACCCAGTCATGTATCAGTGGGGCTAGCTGTCTTGGTGCCAGTGGGTGTCCACCTAGTGCCAAATGGGGTTTTCGATCTTTGTGCCAATGGGACTATTCATCCATGTACCGACAAGGCTATCTGTCTTGGTGCCTGTAGAGTATTCATCTCAATGCTAATGGGACCTTGAATCTCTTTGGAATTGAGCCATCCATCTAAGTGCCAGTTAGCTTCTATTTTGGTGTCAATAGGGTGTCCATTCTAGTGGCAATGGGATTCCATCTCTGAACCCATGGGGCCATCCATCCACGTACCAGTAGCACTAGCTGTCTTGGTCCCCATGTGGCTGACCATCCCCTTGACAGTAGGACTGTTTATTCCTGCCACAATGGAGCCATCTATTAATATGCCAGTAGGGCCAGCCTCCCATGTACCAAAGGGTGGTCCATTCACGAGGAGATCCCTCCCTGTGTAATGTTGCACACACAGGCCTAAAATGTGCAACCTTGCAAAGATCTGTGGATAAACACTGGCCTATGCTGACCTCTCCATTAAGGCTGTTAAGGGTCTTCTGTCCACTTCGCACTTACTTAAACTTGGAAGGGCGTGGGGACCTTGAAGGTAGGGAAACCCTGGCCCTCTGCCCGGGTGACGGGAGCCATCTCCTCTGCTGCAGGACCGACAGCTCCTTCAGCTTCATGGCATTCTTCTTCACCTTCATGGCCCAGATGGTCATCAGCATCATCCAGGCCGTGGGCATCCCGGGCTGGGGCGTCTGGTAAGAGGCAGGGGTCTGGCCTGGGGCTGGTAGGGGTGGCACCTTGAGCGTGTCCTGCGTTTACCTCTGTGTGCCATGCTCCCTAGCCCGTGGGGCACTGGGTGGTTATTGGGAGAGTGAAGGGTTCAGGAGAGAGTAGTAGCACAGCCATAGCATCAGAGGGGAAGGAGAACCTGGCCGTGGTTTCTGAGGGGCTGAGGGGTGTCAAGCATCGTGGGAAAACCCAGGAGAAGGAAGCCTTAGTCTGAGGGACATGTCTGAGCCACGGGCCAGGGTCTTCCTGGGCCACTGACACGGGGTCAGTAAGATGGTCCCTCTGAATCCAGTGATATGGTTCCTCCCTGTGGCACTGAGGTAGTCCCTTGCTCCAGTGGGGTGGCCCCTGGGTACCCCTCATCCTGCCCACAGCCCCACCGCCGGCCTCTTCCCACAGCGGCTGGATTGCCACCATTTCCTTCTTCGGAACGAACATTGGCTCAGCAGTGGTGATGCTCATTCCCACCGTCATGTTCACGGTCGTGGCCATCTTTTCCTTCATCGCCCTCAGCATGGTACGTGGTCCCCTCAAGGGAGAGAGTGTGGCTTTGGGAGGGGGCTGTGATCGGAAACAACCCCTCCTCCAAGTTACAAGAGGGTCCAGAGGTCTTTCTTCCAAGGGTCTCACTCTGGAATTGCCTGCCGGACTTTCCTACACAGGCGTGGAGGGGCAGGGAGGACTATGTTTTTACAAATGGTCCTATCTACTTCTTGGATGGGCTGCCCCTTCCCTTTGATTAACCCTTCTTCATGCTCCTCTTCCTACAGGTTCATAAATTTTACCGGGGCAGTGGGGGGAGTTTCAGCAAAGCTCAGGAGGAGTGGACCACGGGGGCATGGAAGAATCCGCACGTGCAGCAGGCGGCCCAGAATGCAGCCATGGGGGCGGCCCAGGGTGCCATGAATCAACCGCAGACTCAGTATTCTGCCACTCCCAACTACACATACTCCAATGAGATGTGAACCAGCCAAGCCTACCAGGAGGCAGGGCTGAGGCCATTGGGACAGGGGGCTCAAGCCACATCGTATGTTGTGGTGACCAAGCAGGGTTCCCCCTTCCCTTTTCTCCTTCTCCCCCACTTTGTATAAAGAATCAGAGTTATATATGTATATATGTATATGTCTGTCCCCTGCTCCCCACCTTTTGGATTCTGCTTTTGGCACTCCAAGAGCTGTGGGCTGCACGTGGAGCTGTCCTGTGCGGTAGTAGCTGTCCGTGTCCCCTCATGAAATAGTGTGCAGTGGAGGTCTTTTGTTGTGGTGCTAGATGTATGTTTAGAACTAAACCAGCCCTCCACCCCCACCTGCCCCTTCTGACCCTGGCCCAGGGACCGCTCGTGGGGTAGAGGAGGCATAGCAGAAAGCCTGGCCCCTCCCTAGGGTCATGAGCTGACACTGTTTCTACTTTTGGTCTTCCTGAGAAGCAACAGTATTTAGCACTCATGGTAGTGGCAGGTGGAAGGGTGAGGACAGGCAGGGGAACTCCCCTTGCTCCTTCTGATCCATCCAGGTCTCCCCTCCCTCAGCCTCCGCCTCCCTCATCTCTTCCCTGCTGTCAGAGTCCCTGTGCTGTCTTCCCTTGCCCAGGGTCTGTCTTTCTCTTTCCCATGTGGCTTTTGTTTTCCCTAAGGCTGAGTATCTCCGTTGTATCTGCTCCTGAGACTGAGCCCAGATTCCTAAATCTGATCTGATTCCCAGATCCAGGAAGCTGACAGGGGAGCTGAGCCTTAGCCCTGATGTGGGAGGGGAACACAGCTGGAGAGGCAGAGCCCACCTGCCTCCTTGACTCCCAGGGAATGGAAATGCAGGGTTGGTCTCCTTGGCTCTGAGAGCTTGGCCTGCAGAGGCAGGCTCCTCTTTTCTCTCCCCTGTCTTCTCCTCCTCCTCTTCCCAGAGGCCCCTGGAGCCCCTCTGAATGTGGCCCTCTGCCTCCTCCCCATACCCCGGCTGCTGTGGCTTGATTCTCCTACCCTGACCCCACCATGTACCAGGTGGCTTCTGCCATGGTGGATGGCAGATTCCACTGCCTTCCCCGAGGAGCTGGGTCGTGTCCGGCAATTGTCAGGTATAAAGGTGCAGCTGGAGCAGAGGGCATTTCAGTAATTATTGGTCCCCAGGGAAGGTCTGGTTAGCCCCAGCCCACTGGGGCATCTAGGTGTCTCTGAGTGATCACTGGATTCCTGGGAGCGGTGGCTGCTCTGTTTGGGTCTGGTAGGAGGGTCAGGGCTTGGAGGCCTAGGCCTGGAGGGAAGGTCAGAAGAGAAGGCTGGTGGGGCCCAGTGGGAGGGGAGCATGCCTCCCCAACCCTGGCTTGCTCTTGGTCACAGGGCACTTCTGGGCACTTGAACTCAGGGCCCAGGAGGAAGCACAGGCCCAGTCCTAGCTGTAAGCACAATGGCCTAAATAGGGTTTCAGGTTAGGCAGGGTGGGAGGGGAGGCTCTCTAGCTTTAGTTTAGTTTTTTTTTTTTTTCCCCTAAATCAAGAAAACTTGCTCCCCTCTGCCCACAGACCTTGGTTCTTGGCCCTTCCTCACCCTGTCGGAACCTCCTTGCCTTTTCAGGAAAGTGATTTCAAGTTCATTGGGCTGTTCTGTTCCAAGCAGTGTGAGAACACTGCTGGTAGAGGCCCCGGCTCTGTCTGAGGCCTGGAGTGGAGTGGATTCTCATCCAAGGAGCAGAACTGCCCATTCCCACCTTCTCTGCTCCCAACAGAAGCCTGCCTGGGCTATTTGGACAAAAACCAAACCCTGCTTGGCTGCTCTGCGCTGACTCCAGCTTGGAACCTAACACCTGGGCTTCCAGGCCACCCTGAGCTTTGAGCTCCAGGTACTTCGTTGCCCTATAAGGGGAGCCAGGGGCTTCTCTTTCCTAATGGTCCCTTAGGCTTGGGCCACAGAGTATAATTGCCTCTCTGCTCTCTCATTTTCTTTCTGGAAAGCAGTTGTCACAGTCCCTGGCACCTGAAAAGAGACCCTGGGTCTAGGCTTTTCCTCCCCTTCCCTCTCCCCTACTTCAGACCTCTGGCTCCCTTTCCTTTAGTCTCTCTGGTAGCTCCAGGGAGTCTGTGTCCAGCTGCGAGCCTAGCATCCATCACCTGTTGGGTGTCACCTTCAATTGATTTCCTATGCTACCTGCCTCTCCTCTTTCCTGGCTCAGACCTATATAGTCACATCCTGACTCTACCGTCCGGAAAGCCTGTTACCCGTGTGTGGCCCAGGTTTGTTCAGGCCCTGGGATGCTGCATCTCCAGGCAACTATGCACTTTCCTGGGGAAGGAACTAGTGTGAGAAGTGGGGACTGGGCACAGATTCAGCTCTGTGGGATGGTCTGGCGTGGGGGTGGGGTAGAGGAGGGCCCAGGCCAGTTCTGGGGATTCTCAGGTCTGCGGCCAGCCATGACCTGCTTTGGCAGTCTCCGCGTGCCCACTGCTCCTCGTTATTTCTGGGAGACGGATCATCCCCCAGTTGGCAGTTGACCTGCCTGAGCCAATGTGTCTGTTTGTGGTAACTGAGTGAACCATAATAAAGGGAACATTTGGCCCTGTGTGGTCTGCTGTGTCACGTGTCTTCATGTGGGCCTGCATGGAACTCGCCGTGCGCGGGGGCATGAAGGTAGAGGGGCTGGGTGGGTCTGTGGCCTGTCATTCCCTGGGGCCAAAAGCCATGCCACTAACTGTGTGGCTTTCTCTGAGGCAGCCTAGAGTAGCCATTGAGATTGCCACCTGAGGCCTCCTGCTTTAGGAGGAAGTTGCAAGTTCCCTGAGGAGGATGTAGGAGTAGCTGGATCGGTGGGGAGGGATGGTTTGGGATGGTTTCTTGCGGCAAGGGCAAGGGTACAGCAAGGAGGCCCGCTCAGCTCTGGCCATGAGAGACCTGCAGCAGGTAGAGCTGCTCCAACCGGCACACAGGCTCCCGGGCCCGTGAATGCCGGAGAATGGAGAAGCAGGGGGATGTGCCCGCGTGCGTTCTCCCACCGCTTTCCCTGTGCCCTCCGCTTGGAATGCTGTTCCCGTCTTCTATCTAAACCCCTGCTCACCTCAAGATTCACTCAAGTGACTCCTTTGCGAGGGCTTTCCTGCCCGGAGTTGTTTAGTCCCCTGGGCTTCCTCATGGCGGACTTTATCCTGTGATTTTCTGTGACCCAGCTTGTCTCAAGACCAGGGATGAGTCTGATTTATCTCTGTATCCTGTGCATCTAAAACAGAAGAGGTAAATATTCAGTATTAAGTCCCCCTAGCGATGAGTAGTATATGTGTTGGGGATAAGGGTGAGGAGGTCAGATAGGCCAGGCCCTTCTAGCAAGAATCCCAGAAATACAAGTTTTCTCGGGGAAACACACCTCCCCGCCCTCCAGGGGACTACTCTCAGAAGGCAGAGAAGTGGACTACAACTCCCAGAAGGCCGCGCGACCACGTAGCCCGCCAGGTGCCCTCATGAGGCTGCGCGCCAGTCAGATTCAGCGGGAGGGGCGGCCGAAATACCGCGATATTTGGGGGCTGCCGCGAGACGCGCCTGGCGCTGGGTGAGCCGCTGAGGCGGGCGGTGATGCTGGGTCCTCGCGGCGGTCGGCTGGGGCGGCTGGAGGAGTTTTGGCTGCGAGCGTGGGTCTGCGGCGGTGTCTGTGTGTGTCCTGGCTTTTCCATCTGTGCCCGCGAAGCTCTGCTCGCAGGTGTGCGTGTGTGTGGGAGGCTGTGCGGTCTGTGGGACCTCACTTTCCTGTCGCAGGTGAGGCCGCCAGGAGCAGTAGGGACCCCTGAGCTGTGCCCACCCATCCCGACTTTGTGCTGCTCTGCGATTATTTGTCCAGTGCCACATGATCTAGTTTAAAAGGTGGCCGTCAGCTCCCCACACTTAACCTCTTAGCGTTCTCCCCTACCCCCTCCGAAATCATGAACCTGCTTCCAAAAAGGATTAGGGGCTGCTCAAAGTACAAACTATTTCAAAAGTTGGTAAAATAGAAAAAGGAAAACCATAGGATCTTGGAATTATTCCTAGGCCTGCCTAAAAGTGCTGCATGACATTCCAAAATTAGAGTGAGGCCAAATTTTGTCAGAAAAGAACTTCCTGCTGTCCTTTGCAGTATTTGGAGGCAGGTGCTAGATAATGGGCAGGAGAGAGTCTCAAGTTGGGCAAGTTGTGGGTGTCTTGGAGCTGGAGTTTTCCACATCTCTGCTAGTGTCTGGGAGGTAGTGACACTCGGCCACTACCTCTCTAGTAGCCTGTGTGTGTGTGTGTGTGTGTGTGTGTGTGTGTGTGTAATATATTGTTTCTCAGTATCCATGAGAGATTGGTTCCAGTATCCCCCACAGATATCAAAATCCACAGATGTTCAAATCCCTTATTTTAATATTAAATATCAAATGGCATAGTATTTGCATATAACCTAAGCACATCCTCCAGTATGCTTTAAATCATCTCTAGATTACTTATAATACCTAATACAATGTAAATGCTATCTAAATACTTACACTGTATTGTTTTTTATTTGTATTTTTATATTTTTGTAATTTTAATTTTATTTTTTCCACATGTTTTCAATCCATGGATGCTGAAACTGTGGATATGGAGGGCTGACTGTATATATCTCCCTGACGTGTGGCCCTGGTGTGGGGAGCCTAACTGGGATTCCAGGAGCAGCAGAGTCAAGCATGTCTGCCTCTGGTTTGAGAGAAGGGTGGTCTGTTAGGAGAATGCCAAGGCCTTGAGCTCTCCTCGAAGGGTTCCTAGCTTCTCCTAGGATCAAGGGAAGGGTCCCTGTGTCATGGGACTCCTTTTAATTTGTCTTGGGTTTTGGTGCACGTTATACTTTGGAGAGTTACAAGTTGTTCATTATTTCTGGGGCGGAGAGTAGAGTGTGTTGACTGGTAAGAGAGATGGGGCCAGAGCCAAAGCCTAGGCCATTAGAGAGGGTCTTTGATGCTCCAAATGGGTCCTGAGTCCCTGCCTACCCCCACCCACTTCCCTTGTTTGGTTCCGCTTTGTCGTAGGTAGTAGGCCCCAGTCCCTCATCTTTTCTGTGTTAGGCTGAGCTTATGCCCTGTTGGGTCTTGCCTTCCTTGCTCCTTCTTTAGCCCTGGTTCTATCCTGGCCCCACCTTTGCCCATTTTGTGACTGGCAGGTATTCCTGAAACCTCTGCTCTGAATTAAACTCATCAGAGAAGGAGACTTAGATTTCACAAGCCCAGGCTCTTTGCTCTGTCTGGCCCTGCCTTTCTACAGGACAGAGAAGCTGCCATTTTTCTTGCTGTCTCTTACCTGCGCGGCTGGTGCCCTGGGATCCTGAGGCTTTCAGCCCTGTAACCTGCCTGCTTGCTCTCTGCTTCTCAAGAGTTACTATGAGTCCAGCAGAACCCAGGCAGGTAAGGTACTCTACGGCTACCGGCTACCGTTGCTGTGTAAATAGAGTAACAGACTTGTTGGTTTGGAATTTGATCCTCTTTGAGAGAAAACAAAAGATGCCTGTCATTTATCACCCTCCTTGGAATTCTCAGGTTGATTGATTTGACCTTGCCTCCAAATGTTGGTTAAATGATCCAGTTTCACTTCCTCAGGTATCTCTCTCTTTCTCTCTCTCTCTCTCTCACTCTGGCTCTGGCTCTCGCTCTCGCTCTGCCACATGCACACATACTTGTACATACATACCCACCCTCTTTTCTAGAAAGGTAGGTAGGCTTTTGTCCTAAGCAAAGTTTGCTCAGCAGACTAAGTAGTGTATCTTGGGCTGTACTACCTGCTATAGGGAAGCAGTGTAAGTCACCAGTGTGAATTCCTGCCCCAAGCGTGGTTGATTTCTATAACCTGTTCCCTAGGAATGAGAGCAGCTTGATGGGAAAGAGGTTCAGGGCTGCAGAGATGAAATTCAGCTTTTGGTTTTGCAGGAATCTCTGTCCTAGCATCAGCTGGCTGGGGTGCACAGGGTCAGGGTCAGGGTTTGAGTTCTGGCAGGTAGGTCTCCCTGGAGAACCGGGAATGTGCCTCCATCACCTACTGATGATGTATTCTGGAAAGAAGCTGGCTGGAAGTACCTCTAGACCTTGCAGTTGCAAACAGGGCTCCCTAGTCCCTGGGATAGACTCAGTTCTCCAACTCTGGCCAAGCATGGCTCTGGCTGAGGCCCTGAAGTGGAGCAGAGATTGAGATTTCTGCTAAATGGAACTTTGGGGGATTTTGGCTCTAGGAAACCAGCCTGTGCTTAACTGCTATTGAGAAGGGTCTGCACCTCTGGGAGAAGTGGGATAATGGAGCCAAACATGACCTTCAGCTCACATGGGTGTGTGCTTAAGTGCTGAAGTCAAATCCTGGGCAGAGAGGCCCCAGGGAGCCAAGAGGCCTGTGAGTGAAAGGAGGCCCCTGTTGGTGCCCAGCCATGGATGTAGCCATTGCACGATTTACCAGTACTTCTCCCTTGGGGTCTGCCTGGGTTTCCCTCTCCCTACTGATCCTGTCCTTTTTGAGTGCATCTTCTAAGACCTTCTGTCTTGTACAGGGAGTCCCTTACCACTGTCTTTCATGCATTGGCTCAGAAGGTTTCTGCTGGAAGGAGCTTCAGAGATCCTGGTCCTACCTCTGCATTTTTCAGATGAAGAGACAGGTCCAGGGAGGGAATGACCCTGGACCAAGGTCATACACAAGGTCAGGAGCACAACCATGGACAGGGTCCAGGGCTTCTGATTCACAGGCCAGGCTTCTATCCCCTGCCTCACACTGCCTGGGGTACAATTTATTATTCATTCAGCAGATGTTCAGGACTGCTGTTCAGGACTGCCTGACAGTGGACTGGTCAGGACCGCCTGACCAGTTAGACCTGGTCACACGTTCAGGGAGCTTGCTGGTGGAGGGAGAGGCAAGGAACTGATGTACAAATTGAGTCAGTGATCACCAAAAAGGTACATCCCAGAGAAGGACCTATCTCAAATAATTTTAGGTGTGACTCCTGTCTCCTCAAACTCATCTGCAGATTCCTCTAAGGCAGCGGCCGCGTCTTCCTCAATTCATTTACCCAGTGCTTGCTGTAATCAGTCCTCAGTGACTGTCACTGATGACGTATGTTTTGCTGGCTCAGCCAGCCCGAGCGTAGGTTTTGGTGTGTCTACCAGCCATACTGTCATGAGCATGCACTTCTAGCAACATCTGAGAGCCAGAGGAAGAAACAAGCCAGCTGTCCTCATGGGCGGCCTACATCCCCTTTATGCTTCCCTCTCCCTGGGCTTTGATTTTCAGGGTGGTGCCCAGCCTTGTCTACAGGGACAGGGACAGAGAGGCAAATCTCAGCCTAGGGTTCCACCTCACAAGCATCTTTGGAACCTGTCCCCTTCTGCCACTTCCTTTGGTCAGTCAGCTTGGTGCAAAGCTCTTCTTGCCCCTCTGGTCTCTCCACCAGCAGGCCCCCTCCTGCACTGTCGCCAGCACCAGCACCGTCTTTCTGAAACCAAAACTTCTCTCTAGCCCTCCCACCCTTGACATTCTGGCCTCCACCTGATTTCCAGCCTTATCTCCTGGCCTTTTTCTGACCCACATCACCGTCGGTGCCGGGCCACTCCCCGCCTCCTGGATCCGGCAGCCTCCCACAGGACGCTTCCCCTTTGCGAGATTCTCCTTCCTCCCAGGTTATTTCTTCCTTCTCTGGAAAATTTACTTGTCCTTCAGGACTCAACCTGAATGTCATCTTTGCTGTGACAGTGTCACTTCCTGAGACAGTCACTCTGGGCCACCACAGCACCCCTGGTGCAGCCCTTCCTCACAGCACTTGCCACATTGCATTGTGACTGGCCCACGTGGGGAGGGTGTCTGACACTCTAATCAAACTGTGTCTCCCAGATGCTGGGACTATGGACCCCTCAGCAACCACAGCATCTGGCCTCGGCTAACACGTGATGCTCAGTACATCCTGGTCAAATGTGTGAATAAAGGCGGCCCCCCTTGTTCTGCTTTTAGATCCTAAATCCTGACAGAGCTTTATAGAGCCCAGGCCTGGCAGGCTCCCAGAAATTGAAGCCACCAGACCCCACATGGAACCACAGGCCTCATGTTCAGCTGCTGGACCTCTGATGGAGAGAAAATTCCATGTTCTTGTGGGCGTCACTGGGAGTGTTGCAGCCCTGAAGTTGCCTCTTCTGGTGTCACAGCTTTTGGACATCCCTGGGGTGAGTATCCTCACTGGACAGCATGGTAGCTTCTGGCACGAGAGAGCCGTTGCTCCCCGCGGTCAGCCTATTTCTCTGCAGTGCATGGAGTTTTCTTTTTCTTGTGTTTGTGGAGGTCCTCTGGGTGTGCTGGACTGTAGGGGATACAGGAGACAGAGACCGGTGCACAACATGACCAAGAGCCAGAGTAGGTAGTGTGGACAGAGGGTGTCTCCCAGGGGGGAGACTGGGAAAGGGTGTGTTGGTGAGTGGAAGGTTTGAGCTCCCATATGGTGACCCTGAGGTTCCAAGAGGTCCTGTGTGGGCGCAGGGCTGGCTGGAGAAATGTAGCAAGTTCTCAGTCCCCTTTGCCGCCTTGGGCTCCCTGTCCCTACTTCACTCCGTCTCGAACACTGGCTCTGTCCTTGTTAGGTCCCACGGTTGTCCCGTCAGCTCTGAAACCTCAGGGCTTCCCTGGGGCCCATAGCTCTGGTTTCAAATTTTTCTCCTTCAGGTGTTCAGAGACGCCCTATGGGCCATCACCGTGTGTTGGGCTTGGGGACTCTAGCCCCCTGTCCTTGGCCAGACTGCTTCAGCTTGGATCAGTTTTATATATGGGGGTTCTGGTGCAAAAGTTCAAAGCTTTAAACCATGTGAAATCTGAGTAGCCCCACTTCCTCATCTGGCCTCCAGGGCCCTTTGTTGGGCTGTCTCATCCCCTGCTGCCCCACCCTCCACCCCCTGCCTTGGTGGCTTTTGCTTGGCCGGGCTCCTGCCAGCCTGCTCTGCTCTCTCTGCTTCTCCGTCTGTCTTTTCTTTCTGCACAAGCCCTTCACTCAGAAGCCTTCCCTGCCTGCCCTAGCCCCTGTAGTTTTGCCCCTTCTTTTAAATTCGTTTTAAATTCGACAGCAAGTGTCACAGAGGGTGGTCCAGAGGACAAACCAAGCGAGCCGCACACGGAGAGTTGGAAAATCAAAGTTTATTCGCCAGTGGGCTCAAAGGAGTCTCATCACCAAATTCTGAGCCCCGTCTACCTGATTTTTCCCACTTTTATTAAGTTGGGGTGGTCCGAGGGGTGGGGTCTCAGGTGGCTAATGCGCCGCCAGGTAATAGGTTAGTTGATGCGCCAGGTAATAGGTTTCGTGTTATGCTGATACAGGTCTTCCGTGAGGGGTGGGGGTCTCAGCTGGCTGATGCACCATGTAATAGATGGGGGTTTTCCTTATCATTTCAATACAGAAGCACAGGTTGCTTAGACACTGCTCGCGTTGCTAGGTACTAGTTTTTGTGGGTCATTGTGAAGTTGCTGGGGCCCAGGCTGTGCTTTTTTCTTGCTTGCATCTGCCCAACACCTACCGTGGGGGTGACCCAGGCAGCTGGATCTGGCACGTTCAGCAGGGGGCGGTACTCACTCACAGATGACCACGTGGGGCCCGTGGCAGGGGCTGGGCTGGGAAGTATTTCACTTTTTTTACTTTCCACAGACTTCCACCTAGAAAGTCACCCCCCTCACCCCACTCCCAGGCTGGGATAAGTCGGGAGGCTGCCAGCCAGGGATGCCAGCCAGGCCAGGGTGGGGAGCGGGGAGAGTCTCGTGGCCGGGCTGCTCTGAGACAGGGCGCTGCGCTTTTGGAGCAGTGCTGCCCAGAACCACTGGGGGAGCTGGCCAGCTAGAGCTGCGAGGGTGGGAGGCCTGAAAAGAGTTGCAGCACTGAGAACCCTGCCCCCACCCCCTGGGGAGAGAGGGAGCCATGCGGTTTCCTTTTCCCACAGCCCCAGAGCAAGTGAGTTTCTGGACTGGGGGTGGGTGGGGGCATGGAGTCCTATCCCAGGAAACAGATGGGCAGCCTCAGAGCGGAGGGAAATGGCAACCCCGCCACTTCCTCCCAGCCCACGCAGCCAGTATTTATGGGAGTGTAAGGAAGGGGTTGCCTGGAACAGGGAGGCTCTCCAGCCCACCCCAGGCCTTTTAGCCTGGGCTCCCCGAGGGGACAGGCCATGTCTGGAACAGGACTTGGCTCTCCCTTCCTGGCTGGAGTGAGGCAGCCAGAGGGCACCGAACTCCGAGGGAGGGCTTCCCTAACTCTCAGCCACTTGGAGCCTGCCTTTCTCATTTTAAACTAGGGATGATTCTGCCAACAACTAGGCTCAGAGTTTGGCATGCTGAAGCACCCAGCAGCGTGTGTTTCCTGGCCTTCACCCGCGTCTTTCCCTGTGTTTCATGTCCTTTGGACCAGCCACGTGGTTTGGGGCAACCCCATGTGGGAAGAGCTCATGTGGGGGCCCTCTCCTTTCATCCTGTGGTAGATGGCTCACCTGGCCTGGCTTTGCTTGGGGGGGTCCTTGTGTGCTGTTGGTAAGCAAAGGTGATCCCTGGATTGCCTAGCGTTGTCCCCAGCTGGTGGCCTTTCCCCTGAGCACTCCCCTTCACCCCCTGATGGTGCTCGTCTCCCTGTCCCCCCACCCCCGTCACCCGCAGGAGCAATCTTGTCCCCTGGAGCAGTCACTTTCAGCTCTTTGCCGGCGGAGTTGTGGTTCGCATGCTCGAGACTTTCCCAAGCTCCTTTAGGTGCACCAGATTTTGACTGGCAAATGAGCAACTGGGTTGTGGGCTGCAGGGAGCCGGACAATTCCGCAGACCTGGCTCAACACTGCTCCTGATTCACCAGGACGTCCAGACATCCGGGGAGAGCCGCTGACTAGCAGGCAGCCAGACTGGGGAGACTGCGTGGGGTGGTGGGGAGAGGTAGATTTAGCCATGAGCTTCACACACCAGCAGCTGGGGAGAGTAGCCACCGGCATAGAGCCTTTATGTGTGGTGGGGAGCACAGGACCAGGGCAACCATCCTCGAGAGAGGCAGCTGAGCGTAGAGAATTTCTGAGGCTGGGATTCCGGGTAAGTCAGTTCTCTGTGGCCTCAGTTTTCTTACCTGTGCAGTGAAGGAGGGGCAGGTACTCCAGTGATCCATTTCCAGCGCCTCTTCTGGCACTGGTGTTAGAAGATTCTAGATGTGAGGGCAAAAAGGACTAGGACCAAAGGCAATTTGAGAGGTGGTCCTGGGGCCCAAGAGCTTCAGGGTGTCTGCAGGTGTCATGTAATCGGGGCAGCAGCTAGGTCTGGGTTGTCAGCCCAGTGAGTTTCTTTCCTTGGGTTGGCAGAAAAATGATTTCCCTCCACCCTTCTAGGTTCCTTGGCTGGGCCGTGGATTCAATTGACATATAAACAGATCAACAGGAGAAAAACCTTATTCGAGTATGTACCTAATGTACGAGAGTTCCTCACAATAAGAGACTCCAAGAGGGGTCAGATGTTTGGAGCCTGTACAGCATCCTGAGCTACAGAAAGGAATAGGGGCTTGGGGGTTCTGGGGGTGGTGGCCACACAAGTTACGGGAGGGTGAGGGGAGGAAATGTGTGGTGAATAAAGGTTGTCCTGTTATACAAAGTCATCAGGTCATAATAGCTGTGCGAGAGAGGGTTGGGTTGATCAATAGGTTAATCTTCCTTGCTTGGTAAGATTCCCTGGTAGGGATTCATGACAATTGAGATCTGTAGGCAGATAAGGGAAGTTCAGAAAAAGCCTTCCCTGCATCTGCTATTCCCCACTTGCCCTCAGTTTGAAATAATCAGCACACCAAAGTGGCACATTTTGGGGTGGCATTTCCGGAACTCCTCACCCATACCCTTCAAACTTGGGAGGAGAAGACATACCATTCTAGCTTTTGCCAGGGCTGGTGTCAGCATGACTGAGAGCTGGAAGGGGATTTGTAGAGGTCGAGAAAAACTCCCACTCGAGGTTCGCAGGCATTGGGCTAAGAGAAGGAATAGTTTCTAGAATGTGTCTCAGGACATCCAGCGCTGTCAAGGATGAGAGAAAGAGAGCCCTGCTCATATGCTGTATGAAATAAATTCTGATTTTCTGGAGTTTGACAATATTTGGAGAAATTAAAAATGTTCATAGCCCTTGATTTACCCATAGGATTAAATCCTGCGAGGTGTATTTACAAAAGTTCACCATATGTACAAGGATATTCATTGTAGTATTGTTTATAATTTCAAAGCAAAAGTGGAAACAAAATGTCCAGCAATAGAGTGTACTTATTGTACAGCCTCTCAGTGGGTTAGGAGACAGCGGTGCAGAAGACTGGGGTGGATCTCTCTGTGCTGGTGTGGGACTATGTTCAAGATATAAATGAAATAAGCAAGGTGCAGGAGCTAGCAAACCGTGCCCCTCAGGCCAAATCTGCCCGTTGCCTATTTTTGTATAACCTGCAGCGAAGAATGGTTTTCTATGGTTAAAAGAAGTCAAAAGAAAAATAATATTTTGTGACACATAAAAGTGATATGAAATTCAGATTTCAGCGTCCATAACATTTTATTGGAACACAGCCACCCCATTCATTTATGTATCGCCTGTGGCTGCATTTACACTACCATAGCGTTGAGTAGTTGCAGCAAAGCCTAAGGTATCATCTGGCCCTTTGCAGAGAAAATTTGCCGACCCCTGCTGTATAGTGTGATTCCTTTTGTATGTTCACATACCTGAGTTACTGTGAGCAGTTTTTTCCTCTGGAGGTGGTTGTCCTTGTGCAGGGGGTCAGGACAGGAATGGAGACTTGCATTTTTTATTTTGTTTCATTCTGTTCAGTCTTAATTTTTCAACTTATGTGTGCATTTTTTTTTAAGTCAGTGGGGGCTTTTGGTGGAGTATTATGGAATGTCCCTTGTAACTTTGTGCTTTGTGCTTTTTTGTTTGTTTGTTTGTTTTCAATGAGACACAAGGCCTGGTTTGAGGTTTTCCTTTTCTTCTGGGTGGGGGTTGCCTGCCTGCTCTTGTGGTCCTGCTGCGGAAGCTCTGCGGCCTTTGTTTGTGCGCCACTGTCTTGGCTGGCCCCTTCCTCCCCTGCCCGGCAGCCCTCTCGCCTGCTTCTCCACGGGGCGAGCTCTGTAGACCACTGGTCAGAGGGCGCTGCACCCAGGCCTTTCCCTCATACCTCAGAGCAGCACCTGCGGAGAGCCTC